TGCAGTAACCTGCGTCCTCATCAGCTTCATCCAATTCGACTCTTCCAGCAGCGATCAGAAAAGCTGCGAGATAGCTTTTTGGATCCTCCAATCCGCTGTAAGGGTCCAACTTGAGTTTCCGGGAATCTTTGATCCTCAAACTTGCAATTCGCGAGATGAAAGGTGTTCGCCTAGCTTCTTCAATGACTCGATTGATGTCTGGCTCCGAACTTGTAGCTTGATGAAATTTTGATTTCATTTCTTTTAATTCCTGACTAACCTTCCTCATGGTCTCGAACTGGTCGAGGTTCTCCTGCTCGTATTGAGCTGCAAGTTGTTCTTCATCTCCGAACTGTGTCTCTTCTTCCAACGTCTGAACTACATTATCAGTAGCACCGGGAGTTGTTTGTCCGCTGGTTTCATTTCGTGCAGCGGAACTTGGCGAGTTGAATATCCCTCTTCGGATTCCCACAAGGTTTCCTGCACTTAAAGAGCGAACACGAGTTTGTATAGTACTGACGTTTTGACTAAGAGATACCTGGGATGTTTGCAACGTATCGACGGCCTTTTCCACATCCGAGAACTTTTGTGATATGTCCGACATGGTTTGCTGCATAGCTTTGAGGGTTTCGGCCAATGATGTCTCAACGGTGTCTCCTCCGGATATTGTTGCTTATCTCGGAAGTGTAATAAAGAAAAATCTGACCACTCAAGAATCCTATTTCCCCACAGACGGCGCCAAAATGTGGATGTCGGATTCACACACTCAAGTATTTCTATTAAGTAGGAAAGATTACTCTTGAGGAACAAAAATGAATATGTAAAAACTTATAAATTGCTACGAAAATTGCTATATTATTTCTTTTTCTTGAGAGGAAGATCCTCTTTACATGGCCATTGGCCTTTATATTTATACACAGAGAATCGACATTAAAATGAATAATTAAGTACAATTATCCCCTCTTAAATGTGTCCGTTTTGATTCTTTGACTTTAATGCTCAATGTTTGAATTTGAGTTGACTCTGATCTTCATGGGCCTCGCCTTTTGGCCCAAGTGTCCTTGAACCGACTTACCCGTGTCTTCTACACCGAACTCATGTCGAAGAGCAGTCACTTCGGATTCTCGAAGTGGTGATAACCACTTCGACCGTTCCTTCGGCTCACGGGTCCAATGGGCTTTATCCTTTATGGGCCATTATCTTGACTACGTGGCAATCTTTGGTTGGTCTCGGACTTCTTGTGCGGGATCCGACACCAACAGATACCTCTCGAAAAAAAATTGTAAAGACAGAAATTCATATACATGTTGAAAATAATGTAAGAAAAATATGATTTGTTAACAAGAAAGTATAGATAAGCTAGCTTAGTAATGTTAAAACGGGCTACCCGGTCTGTTTAGGCCCGAACCCGTTTAACAAAAAAAATTAAAGCCCGTTTAGGTTCATACCCGTTTAAGCCCGCCAAATTTATAAAGGCCCGTTTAGGCCCGTCTATTGTCTTCCCTGATTTAAAAAAAAAGCTATACTAACTAATGCAGAAAATATACTTTAGTAAGGATCTTATATTTAGAAGAGCTATACTAACTAATGAAGTAAATATACTTTTGTAAGGATCTTATACTTATCATAAGCCTATGAGTAAACTTTTGTAAGGATCTTATATTTAGAAGAGTTATACTAATTAATGCAGTGAATATAGAAAAAATACAATAGTGAATTTGCAATTACAAAAATGAGAAATTCTTCAAAGTTAGACCCTATAAAAAATTTATTTATTTCATGAAAAATCTTGTCATCCAAATATCTAAAGCTAAAGAGAGAGAGCTATTAAACAAAAAAGATATACTTTTGATAAATGTTGTAAAAACCTAAATGTTGTATTAGAATTTTTTTAAGTTGTATATTTTTATTGAAATATTTGTCATGGTACTTTTAAAATTCAAAGAATTTGAACTATTAACAATAACAATAAGTAGAAATATAAAAACATATATTCAAAAAGTTTAATAAATATTACTAATCACACAAAAATTTATTAAAAAAAATTTTAAAATAGATCCACGCGTAGCGTGGGTTCAGAACCTAGTAATAAATTAAAAAAATCTAGATATTAAAATAGAAAAGCATCCTAAAATCTTAAAACCACAAATCCAAAGAACCATAAAACCAAATAAAAAAGATAGTTGTAAAGAAAAGAAGATATTTTTCATATATTTATATAAATTTTACATAATATATTAATATAGATATATATATATATATATATAAATTTTACTTTTTAGTTTTGGTTATGAAACTCATGGGTAATCCATGACCCTAATAGGTTTTACCTATTAAACCCATAACCTTAATAGGGTAACGGTAACCCACTAAAACTCATTTATATATATAGGTAAAAAAATTCTACCCAAACCCACTAATATCATGGACGGGTTCGGGTAACCCATGGATATTAACCCATTTTGACACCCCTACATATGTGTGTGCATATACATTTTTTTTTTGTCAACCAAAAATTTCCATAGAAATTTAGAGATTTGAAGCATACAAGGAAAGAGATAGTTTTGCCAAGGAGTCAGCTAACACATTGGCTGCTCTTGGAATAAAGGTACAGCGGAAACTTGAAAAATAAGAAGATAAGAGATAGATATCGGAGAGAACGCCATGAATCTCCGTGAGGTTAGATCGGTCCTTGATCGCTTGGATCAGAGAACGGCAATCCGACTCAATGGTAATATGTGTGCATATACATATATTTTAATATTATAACTGAAATTCATTAGACCATTTATAATACCAATTCAACCCAGAGATCCAATAATCTAGCTGGAAAAACTCATATCATAAAACCAAACACAATCACTATATACTCTTGAAATATAGTAAACAAAAAGAGAAATTGTTAAAAATGCCCCTTTCTCAATACCCTTTTTTAAAAATGCCCCATTTTAGAGTCTATTTTTAAGTTTGCCCTCTTTTAATTTTTAATGACCATTTTACCCTTATTTGAAACAAAATTAGGTCCACAAAATACAAAATATTTTTTGGCGGGAAAAGTGATCCCGCAATTTTCCCGCCAAAACACTTGTAAAAACCTTTAAAAAACCTTGTAAAATTTTCCCGTAAAAATTTTTCCCGCCAAAAAATTTTTTTGCGGGAAAAGTGATTCCGCAATTTTTTTTTGCGAAATTTTTTTGGCGGGAAAAATTTACAAGGTATTTTAAAGGTTTTACAGAGTATTTACAAGTGTTTTGTAAGGTTTTACAATGTATTTTAAAAGGTTTTACAAGGTACTTATAAGGTTTTATAAGGTATTTATAACTTGTAAAACCTTATAAAAAACTTGTAAAACCTTATAACTTGTAAAAACCTTATAAAATAGCTTGTAAAATCTTATAATATATTATAAATACCTTGTAAATACATTGTAAAACCTTTTAAAATACATTGTAAAACCTTATAAATACCTTGTAAAAAACCTTTAAAATACCTTGTAAATTTTTGGCGGGAAAAATTTTCCCGCCAAAAATTTAACGCCAAAAAAATTGCGGAATCACTTTTCCCACAAAAAAAAATTTTTGGCGGGAAAATTTTTTGGCGGGAAAAAGTTTGACGGGAAAATTTTACAAGGTATTTTAAAGGTTTTACAAGTTTTTACAAGTGTTTTGGCGGGAAAAATTGCGGGATCACTTTTCCCTCCAAAAAATATTTTGTATTTTGTGGACCTAATTTTGTTATATTTCCTTATATATTTGTGATATCTTTTATTAAAAGAAGGGTAATTTAGTCATTTTGTACATAAAAAGGGGTATTTTTAAAAATGGACAGCTAAATGGGGCATTTTTGAAAAGGGGTATTAAAAAAGGGGCATTTTTGTGAGTCTCCCAAATAAAAATTAATAAACTAATCTAATATATTTGTTTACCATAAATACGATTATTGTATAAAATTATATCACAGAAGATTTATTCCGCTCTTACCTAGTAGTAATTAAATAGAAGAAGATCCTAATTACTTAAAACTATATAATAATAAAAGGTTTATTGAATATAAGCATGAACCCTAGGTTCCTAACTACGAGATCCATCACAGGTCATTGGCTCTTGTCTTGAAGGTCGTCCGTGGATTCCAAGGGTGGTTTGGAAAGTAAAATAGCACAAACCTTGCAGAGGACCACATAAGAGACAATGGTGAAGCAACTTTTGGTCACAAACCTCAACACAACAAGGCCCCATTCCCTTTGGTTCTGAGCGCAACTGTCGTTAGGTGTAACGACGTAGAAGAAGAAGAACAAAAAGACGACATATTTGTGGTTTGATATAGCGACTCCGAATTCATTAAGTTGCCAATCTCGAATACGTTTCCTGTATGGGAAGGACGAAATCATGAACACAATGAATGTCACCAAGCCTAGAAATATGATCACAAGATCAAGAGTTAGGTCTTGCTCCTTTAAGAATTCAAGGACAGACTCCATCATCGCTACGTCAAGAGAACCTGCCAGTTTTAGACGAGGATGCATGTTATGAAGACGAATGAGAAGAAGAATATCGTTAGAGAGATCTCACAAATAATAATTTACCTTTGCAACAAAGCAGCTTGTGTCTTTTTTTTTCTTTTCTTTTTCAATAATCGTGGTTCGTGGACAATTATCTACTTTTCTATTTATAACTTTAAAAGCCCTTTAGTATACAATTATGATTACGTGCTCATCCACTACAAGAAAAATGGCTTTTCTTAGCATCCGAATAACGCTATCTAACTATTCTATAGCGTTTTGACAAACGCTATATCTGCGCCCGTCATAATAGGTCAGACACTTTAGATAACGTTTTTTTGTTCTGCTATCATATTGTCGTATACAATAACGTTTAATTGAATGTAATTAAATATTATATAATAGCGTATTTTTGTTGTTATTAATGATATTATTAACAACATTTTGGAATTGTTATTTTTATATAAATATAACCATTTCTATTTGTTTTATACTAATTTGAATCAATATATATAAATCTGGGTATAAGAAACAGTATATTTAATCAAAATACTTCATTTATTTGTCATGAAGAGTCAAACCTAAGCTCTACATATTATAAAACACCAAGATAAGGAGTTCAAAGTACTTCATATATAAAACCCATGCAAATGTTTCAAATTCTCAATTTGCTCTCCACACTCGTGCACCATCAACCTTGAAAACCTCTACCCAGACCTTGCTAGCGTTGGAACCTAAAGGGATGAAATGGACCTTCTCTGCTCGATCACTTGAAGACACACGACATATTGCAACTCTCTGCCCAGAGTTGACAAAAGAAATAAAAAAAAGTTAAGCAAAGAGTACGGAAAAATTGGAATTCACAAGAAATGTTGGTTTGTTTACCTTAGTTCTATCCCATCCTCCTCTCCTAACTCAACTTTTCAAGTTGCATACAAGAACAGATTCCACGACGCCTCCCTTTGACCTAGAATAGCATGTGTAGATTTAAAACAAAATGATTAATCACAACTTTTGATTAACCTTACAAGTTGCATCAACTAGATATAGCATGAAACATGGCACAAACATGACACAAAGTTAAGTCAACTGAAAAGATCTTATAGAAGAGAAACTTATAATAAAACAAACATTAGCAATCGAGTTTCTCATCTATTTGCTCACCAAAGCATCAAACTTTGGCTTGTATTTCGGAGTAACAGTGTCAACGTACTTAAGAATCTCAATGCCTACATTAAACAAAAAACATCAATCAAATATACAACTTAGCTTCTCAGAGAACAAAATAAAAGCGCACAGAAAAATTCCGCTTGATAACTACCCTTAAACTAGTATAAATTAAAGATTAAACCCTAACCTCGAATCTGATTTCACCTCAACTTGATTCATCACCTATCTTCACGATCTGTTGTCTTAATCCTCACAATATCGCTCATCTCTTCATCAATCGCTGTTAGGACTCCTCCCTTCTACCATCGAGAGGCCACACAGATCCAATGCTCCGACGAAAAGGATCGTATTTGTTCCTAATTATCCCTCACTTTCATCTCTGAGAACATCAATTCCTATAAAAATCGAACCAAATACATCCATCCTCGTGGCTCAATTAAATCAAATTAGAAGAAAAAAAAACCAACACAAAGAGTTAAAAAATCGTAAGAGTTATGGATGAAAAGCACAAATTGGAGAACCCTAAATTAATATCTCAAACATTAAGAAGAATTCGGAAGAGACTCACTGGCGGCTAAGATGTGGAAACGGCGACAGATCTAAGAGGCAATGATGGAGCTAGGGTGGAAGGCGGAGATCCCTTGTAACTATCGGAAAACTAGCATAACATCTCTCGCTACGTCTTCTTCGATTACTTTGGCGGTACATCATAAGCGGCGACGAGATCTGAAAAAAAAAAAAAAAAATTAGATCTGGAAAAATGAGTTTGCTGGAGAAGACGAGAAAAGAGGGAGAAGAGGAAGAGGTGAAGAAGATGAAGAAACGAAGAGACTAAGAAGCAAAGAGGAGAAGTGGATTGAGCGAGAATAGAGTAACGGAGATGAAGAGAAGTCAAAGAAGATAGACGGTTTCATTAGCCTGATGAATAAAGTGAAAGAAAAATAAAAAATTTAAGGGTTTTTGGATAAGAGTTTCTAGAGCCCAATTTTAGTTTAGGCGGTCACTGACTTCTTTTCTCCCGCTAATTTTTCCATAACGTTTTAGTTGTGTATATATGCTATCATATACCATGAGCGAAAAAATTGAGCCAGCGCATAACTTTTTATCTGCATAACATATTATAGCGTGTATCAATTTAGAAACGCTACAAAAGAGTTAAGGGTAAATCAACTATAGCATAAATACATAAATCGTTATCTTTTAATGCTATTAAAACTCAATATTCTTGTAGTGATCTATACTTATTACCATTATTGGCTAATATATCATTTCTAACAAACGGAATATTACGAAATCTATTATGTAATATTAATTAATATCTACCATACGATATCGCGCTTGTAATATGTGTATAATTAAGTTAAGTACGCTGTCATGCTCGCTTTACATAAACGCATTTTCCTTTATTATGTATCAAAACGTAAAAGCCAAAAACTTTTATGTTTCTTCCAAAAAAACAAAAACTTCAAAAGAAAGAAAAGACAAACAAAAAATAGATAAACGAAATAGTTTTGTGCATCTCGAACATATATCAGCATTACTCGAACAATAAACGTGAGAAATGAGCACACAAATAAAAATAAAAATAAAGCTTAGATGCTCAATTAACAACCCATGGCATTTTCCGAAATTGATGATGAGTTTCCATCGCTGATTGCTTTTGTCCAAATTATCCTGGTTAAGAAAGCTTCGAAATCTTCATAAAGAACTGTCGGACAACCTAAACCTATAATCGCCCAAATTCCAAATGCCCAAAAGACACACACTCTCTAAGGCTTAAAGGCAAATAAACGACTAGACATGTGGGAGCAAATATCCAGCCAGAAGCTCCATCCACTTAGAATAACTTATTCAAGCAGCGGAAGAGAAACAAATCCAATAGCCCGATAAAAAGAGAGCCGGAACAAAAAAATATGGATGCAAACGAGGAGGACGACAAACCAGCGAGAGGAAGTAACATAAACCAAAGAACCGCCGAAACTCGTCGCCGAGCACCATCAACATCTAAGACAAGAGTTGTATTCTACTCCTGGATTATATATACCTCAGACACACCAAAGGTTGTCCAATTTATCTTTATGTTGTAACTCTAAACTGTTTGAATGTTTGAAGAGCTTCGAATTTCTCTAACAGAAGTAAGTCCAACACTTACGACTATGATTAATCATCAATATAATTGATTATGTACCTCTTTCGACTTTCTCAAGTAGGAGAAATTAGACCACATATGTCACCGTGAACAAGTTGCAAGCGACGACTTGCTCACCATAAGCTCTTCAGGTGAAGATTCCGGCGTGAAGTTTCAAAATAGAGAAGAAGAAGTTGAATTGAGTGTAAAGAAACAACCTAAGTAAGTAAAAACATTTCGAGAACCACACGTATAGACACTTACGACCATAGCAATCAAAGTGTTTTAAAAGTTTGGATTGCATGTAACTTAATTGTCAAGCAATCAAATGTACTAATAACCAGGGGCGGACCCACTTACAAGAAAGGTGGGTCACCTGGGTAAATTAATCAAATATATTTTAGTGTTTATAAGCAACAAAAGTTCCAACAGCATAGTTGGTATTTTTCAAGTTGTTGACACACCTAAACCTGGGTTCAAGCATCCCAAATGACATATTTAGTCTTTTTTTTTTCCATTTTAACTTAAATGCATATCTTTTTGTCTTATATACTTTTAAAAATTAAAAAATAACAGCAGTTTATATACTCTTTTTTTATTTGCTTATGAAATAATTTTTTTTTTAAGTATTGACCCGGGTAAAATTTATTTCTGGGTCCGCCACTGCTAATAACAGAGAATGCTCTGTTTCGATAACTTGTTTGGGTGAAATTAATAAGAAGATATATCTTCTTAAGTTACGTTGCATAAATTGGTTTGGAGATAAATCTGGAATTCTGGATTGTGAGTGAGAAGAACTTGCATTTTCAAAAGCCACCACCTTTTGAAAATGGGAGAAGAGGGTACTCTAGCTGATGAGAGAGTGTTCAACTAATTAATATCTAAAATACTAATGTACTTAATTAGAAAGTTTATCGTTAACTTAATATGTTTAAAGTTGCCTGGAGGAATTAAATGTAATGAAGTGGAAAGAAATAATACTAGTGTATATATAATGTAAACGTATTTTCCTTATGTTCAACAATTGACTAATTCGGTAAGGAAGGGAGAGGTTACTACAATTAATAGATGGAAGAGTGACAAACAATCATTGATATGGTGGAACTCAGGGTTACTACTACTGGCTGCTAGAATTGGTACGTTTTTTTTTTAGACTAGTTTCAAAGAGAGAACCTTCTTAATTATAGAAATAAGTTGGAAAAAAAAGGTTGGATGTGCGTTGCTAGGTTCCAAGTGGATGAAAGAATTGGAGGAAATATTTTGTTGATGAATTCGAGGAGCTAAGCCAAACAAACTACGTACAAACCAAAATTATGGAGGTGGCAATTAAAAGCTTCTATAACGTTGTATTTGATGCATTGGAAGATTACAATTAAAGCACAATATGGCTTAATTAGTCTTTTATTTTGCAAAAGGTTAATTACACTGTTGGATTGCAAAGCAATCCCTTCCCTTTTGAGGAACTTGATAAGCTTATAGTTTTGATATATATTAATAAATATTTTGTCAAGAGAAAGCTTCTACGATAGGTAGATTAATAATTAATTTATATGAGGAAAAATACCATCTAGAGTACTAGTTTGAACTTATGAGTTGTTGTGGCCATGCATGAAAAAATGTGGTGTTGGTGTAATGGAAAAATAAATGCATCAAAATTTCTAAAAATGGCATATCAAATTTCTTTACTTAGTTGTATCCAGGTTTGCATGTGAGCGTGTGGGAGTTTAATTTGCATGTGTGTAAATTGCTAAAATTCATATTGAAAATAAAACTCATGAAACTAAAACCTTGTTTTTGTTTGGTGTAATTAATGGAAAAATGCATACATATTTCTAAAATGGCATATCATATTTCTTTACTTAGTCGTGTCCAAGTTTGCATGTGAGCGTGTGAGAGTTTAATTTGCTTGCATAGAAATTACTAAAATTAATATTGAAAGAAAAACTCATGATACCAAAACCTTGTTTTTCTTTAATTAGTTTGTATAACGTATTTATGTGTTTTCTTTGGTGTAATGGAAAATTAAATGCATACATATTTCTCAAAATGGCATATATATTAAATATCTTTACTTAGTTGTATCCCAAGTTTGCATGTCAGCGTCTGAGTGTTTAATTTGCTTGGGTGGAAATTACTAAAATTTATATTGATAATAAACTCATGATACCAAAACTTTGTTTTTCTTTGTTTTGTGTCCAAAATTACTTGGCCTTTATATAGACTAAGAATGATATAACATCCCCAAGCAAAAGTTTTAGAGAAACAGCAAAGAGAAAGAAAAAAAAGAGAGAGAGCGCGAGAAAGAAGAGATGTGGAGGGTTATGCTTTTCTTGCTTTTCTTGTTCATCTTATTGATTTGGGCTTTTGCTGCAACCATGCGAGAGAGGTTTCTGAGTTCAGTAGTGTCGATGATGGCTGGTGTGATTATGGTTTTGCTTCTGCTTCTGTTTGTTGCTGTGATGATCATCGTCGCTCAACGTCGTAAGATTCGTAACATGTGATCTAGATCATCATCTCATCATCATGTTTATATATGTAAGAAGTAAAGATGATGTAATTAGTAAAAAGATCAGACATTTTATGTATATAGGATAATCAAGTTCTTATTTTTATTGATATAAATACGGTTATGTAAGAAGTAAAGATGATGATGGATGATGTAATTAGTAAAAAGATCAGACATTTTATGTATATAGGATGATCAAATTTGATGTAATGAAATGAAATGATGGGTGATGATAGTAATGGAGTTTTTATATATATTTTATTGCCTGTCTCTTTTATTTTAAATTTTGTTGGTATCATCATCACTTTCTCTTTTGTTTAATTATGATTTCCGGTGATTCTCCGATGAGGATTCTTGTGGTGAATGTTTCCTTGTTTTGGATTTGATTCTCTGAGTACCCATATGAAATCTTTGTCAATTTGTATTTTGCATATCGATGATATTTGTTCCTAAACCCTAGCTTCTCATCCTCCATTGGCTTGTTCTCTCTCTCTCATAAAACATGAACACAAATTTTACCAAAAAAAAACAAGAACGAAACCATAGCAATAATTTTGTCTTATGTGCGTGTGTATGCATGCGTGTAAATGCCCTATGTCCATGTAGTTGATATTCTATCTGCAAGTGAATATCATTTGTATTTATCATCATAAATGTATATTTGTAACTCTCTCAAAGAATAACTCAAGTTTCATCCCCAAAAAAGAAAAAAAAAAATAGGTAAAGTTATTAAAGACTTTTACATTACTGTATTTTATGTAATTTGAGAAGGCAAAGGAAAAAAAAAAAAAATCTTTCAAAATCAGAGATCGAGTGGTCCGGTAATAATTAATGTTGCCCTGCAACAAACTTTAGTTTCCTTGTATACTGATGATACTGACATTCACTGCTTCGTGGTTCGTCCCAAAAGAATAAGATCAGTTTTACTTTTTCTCATGTTATGTCATTAATTTCCTATGTTCTAACCAATCAAAAGTTTTAATGAAAAAATAGTTTTACCTTGAGTAAGAAAACGAACTAAAGTTGAGACTTTATATAATTTGATATATAATAAACTTTATGGCGGAAAGATTTATTTTCTTATGGACGAAAAAAAATAGAGGACTTGAAATCGGAACTTAATGCAGCTCAACGGGATGATACGAGAACAAGAGAGGAAATTACGGAATTAACATTGCAGCTGAAAGAGGCTTATAGAGATGAAGAGCTATATTGGTATCAAAAAAGTAGGGGCCTTTGGATGCAATTAGGGGATAATAATTCGAAATATTTTCATGCTCTTACAAAACAGAGACGTGCAAGGAATCGGATTACTGGTCTACATGATGAAAATGGGATATGGTCTGCAGAGGATAAAGATATTCAAAACATAGCGGTTTCCTATTTTAAGGATATATTCACTACAACTAATCCTCAAACCTTTGAGGAGTCTCTAGCAGAGGTTCAGACAATAATAACGGATTCGACTAATGATTTTTTAACGGCTCCCGCGACGGAATGTGAGGTCCGAGCGGCTTTATTTATGATGCATCCGAATAAGGCACCCGGACCAGATGGGATGACAGCTTTGTTTTTCCAGAAAGCCTGGATTACCATTAAATCGGATTTGTTAACTCTCGTTAATTCTTTTTTACAAGAAGAAGTTTTTGACAAGCGGTTAAATACGACTAATATATGTCTTATTCCAAAAACGGAGCGACCGACTCGGATGACAGAATTACGGCCTATTAGTCTCTGCAATGTTGGTTACAAAGTTATATCAAAGATCCTATGTCAAAGACTTAAGAAGATCTTACCAAATCTTATTTCGGAGACCCAATCTGCTTTTGTAGAAGGGCGACTAATTTCGGATAATATACTAATAGCACAAGAGATGTTTCATGGTCTGAGAACTAACCAGTCATGCAAAGGAAAATTTATGGCTATTAAGACGGATATGAGTAAAGCTTACGATCAGGTTGAATGGAGTTTCATAGAAGAATTATTAAGGAAGATGGGTTTTTGCGAAAAATGGATTTCGTGGATGATGTGGTGTATCACAACAGTCCAATATAGGGTCTTACTTAATGGACAACCAAAAGGGCTAATAATTCCAGAGAGGGGACTTAGACAAGGAGATCCTTTATCTCCTTACTTATTCATTCTCTGTACGGAGGTACTCATTGCGAATATTAAGAAAGCGGAACGTGAAAACTTGATTACAGGTATCAAGGTATCCACAGCTAGCCCGTCGGTATCTCATCTCTTATTTGCTGATGATAGTTTGTTCTTTTGCAAAGCCAATAAAGAACAATGCGGGGTAATTTTGGGAATTCTAAAACAATATGAAGCGGTTTCAGGGCAACAAATTAATTTTTCAAAATCTTCTCTTCAATTTGGCTACAAAGTTGATGCGTCTATTAAGGAAGAAATAAAAGCGGTTCTGGGTATCCACAATCTTGGTGGCATGGGATCTTATCTTGGTCTACCGGAAAGCCTTGGTGGATCTAAGACAAAGATCTTCTCCTTTGTTTGAGATAGACTTCAGGTTAGGATAAATGGTTGGTCGGCTAAGTTTTTATCGAAAGGCGGAAAAGAAGTTATGATTAAATCGGTAGCTACGACATTACCAACATATGTTATGTCATGCTTCAGACTACCAAAATCAATAACTTCTAAACTTACGAGTGCGGTCGCAAAATTTTGGTGGAGCTCAAACGGTGAATCGAGGGGAATGCATTGGATGGCTTGGGAAAACTTTGTAGTAGTAAATCGGAAGGTGGGGTAGGATTTTGGAACGTGGATGATTTTAATTCAGCGTTACTGGCTAAACAATTATGGCGTTTGATTATGGTTCCTGAGTCACTATTTGCAAGGGTATTTAAAGGACGGTATTTCCGAAAATCCAATCCATTGGATAATATAAAATCGTACTCTCCTTCTTATGGTTGGAGAAGTATAATGTCAGCTAGATCTCTGGTTCTTAAAGGACTTATTAAAAGAGTTGGTTTTGGGGCGTCCATCTCAGTATGGGAGGACTCATGGATACCAGCTCAATTCCCGAGACCAGCAAAAAGTAATGGTTCAATTACTGACCCATCTTTAAAAGTTAATCAACTTATCGATAGCCGGTCAAACTTTTGGAATATGAATCTCTTGGCGGAGCTTTTTGATCCAGAGGATGTCGCGCTGATTAGTGCTTTACCTTTGGGTGTCTCAACTAAGGAGGATACCCTTGGTTGGCATTTCACAAAGTCAGGAAATTATACGGTTAAATCGGGTTACCATACCGCACGGATAGAGACTTCTGATGCCAACCTTAAATTTTTTGGCCCGGATATCAAATCTCTGAAAGCTTATGCATGGAAGGTGAAGTGTCCACCAAAGCTACGACATATTTTGTGGCAAATATTATCAGGTTGCGTACCTGTTACAGAGAATCTGAGAAAAAGAGGTATAAATTGTGACACCGGATGTGTTAGATGTGGCGCTGCGGAGGAAACAATTAATCACACACTTTTTGAATGTCATCCTGCAAGACAAATCTGGGCTCTTTCTCCAATCCCTTCGGTTACAGGGATTTTTCCCTCGGCTTCTATTTACGCGAACTTGGATCATCTTTTCTGGAGAATTCCATCAGAGATTGATTCATCTTCATTTCCATGGATAATTTGGTATATTTGGAAAGCGAGAAACGAGAAGATTTTTGATAATGTGGATAAAGACCCATTAGAGGTCCTACATTTAGCGGAGAAAGAGGCACAAGCTTGGCAGGTTGCTCAATCTGAGCTACATATTGACAACCAAGGTTCTATAGATACTGTAACTCGAAATCGCGTGAAAGAGATTTCATTGGATTCCAGTTACTCCGGACATCGGTGTTTCGTGGATGGATCATGGAAAATGACTGATATTTTTTCAGGAACATGGTGGTACTGTACATCGGCAAATGGAGAGATGCCAACCATGGGAGCTGCAAACATCCGGCGAAGTCTATCCCCCCTACATACAGAAATCGAAGCTCTACTCTGGGCGATGAAGTGTATGATTGGTGCTGACAACCAAGATGTAGCTTTCTTTACAGACTGTTCAGATTTGGTGAAAATGGTGTCTTCCCCAACCGAATGGCCGGCCTTCTCAGTGTATTTGGAAGACTTGAAGAGTGACAAGGAAGAATTTTCTAATTTTTCTTTATCTTTAATTCCGCGTAGCGCAAATGTAAAAGCGGATAATTTGGCACGAAAAATTCGTACCGAACCGCATCATATCACTTATGTAAACAACATTCCCCAGGAATGGCTCTTTTGAGCATCTATTTTATTTAAGCTGTTGACAAAAAAAAAAAAACTTTATGCCCAAAACCTTTCATTTCAAATTGAAACGAAATGAACAAATAGATACATATATATTTTGACACGGAAAATTGGTATGCCCACAACCCACCCAAATAGACACACAGCTTTTTAAAATTCAAATGTTATATCAATAATGAACAAATGGAGGGGATGTGCCTTTAGTCAAGTGGTTAAGTCCACTTGACTCTGCCTTCCCCACCGGAGTTCGACTCCACTAAATCGCGTTATCCCGCGTAGTAGGGATTGACTATGGATCGGGCCTTGTCGATCTAAATATGTCAAAAAAAAATGAACAAATGGAAATACAATTTGAGTGAGGATTTCAAAAACAATGTTAGCGATGAAAACTCATCATCTCCACCGACGTTTGTCATCCATGGCATCTTCGGTTTACCTAATCGGTGATGTGAGGTTTCGAAATCGGAGACTATTTTTATAAGATCTCCGAGTTTCAATTTGCAAATCGGAGTTAATGTTTCGCTAACTCGATCAGTTTGTCATGGTATGAATCTATCTCTCATTGTATGAATTGATGTGATTAGAGTTTTTAGAATTTAGGGTTCATGGAATTGGGAAATTGGGGATTTAGGGATTTAAGAGTTTACCATTATACACACACAAAAACTAAAACTATTATTCAATCTCTTAAGTATAAATTTTTCAAAATTAATATTAAAACAAATCATAAGAGCTAATACTAAGAGACCATTGTCGAGGATGGTCTTAGAACCCTTAAAAACCCTGACATGGCAACGGTTGGTTGGTTGATGGTTTTTTTTTTTGATGAATTTTTAACACAAGAATTTTTTTTTATATGTTTATGATTTGAAAATCAATACTATTTTATATGTTTTTGAGTCATGTATGTTAAAAATTTCATGACAATCAATATATTTTGAGTTTTAAAAATATGATATTTTTATAAATTTTAACAAAATAAATTAAATTTAAAATAAAATTATTTTCAAAATATTAATTATTTATTCTTAAGAACCCCTAATAAGGTTGTACCATTGGAGGAGAAAAAAATTAAAATCTCCTAATGAGGTTTTTAACTTTGAATGATGCAAAATTTATAATAAAAATATTGTTAAGAACCTTAGCTGTTTTGGTTCAAAATTTTTATGAACATTTATGTTTAGAAAAACTATGCCATGAGTATTCATCGGGTAGGAAAAAATAAAGAGACGTAGAATATACTACTGTATGCGTATGAAACAGGTTAGGTAGGGGATTATACTAAGTTACATTTAGCCCTATGCAATTTTTTGTTATACGACTTGTAACTGAAAAGTGAAAACTATGTTGAGCAATCTTCAATGACTATATTGGCTTAAGTTTTGAAACTTACATTTTGGTAAAAGTATTATTAGAATATGTTAGTGAAAATCACCAAATTTTCGAAATGAATAATAATATATATATGATTATATATCATATTTTAACATACATTAGAAATATATTTTGTAAAGACTACATACATTTTTCTTTTCTTTCAAACTATATACATGTTTGTACTAGTTCATGTAAACATTACATTTATTTTGCTAACTACTCAATAAATACTTGCAATCAACAACAATCTTGGATGAAAAAGATACATCGGCTTCAATCTCCTGATCCACGAATATTGTATGTTGTCCTTTACTTGCCACACACTTCGTAGCCCAAGTGTGGTTATCAACCTAGCCAAAGTGTGGTTATCAAAGTGGTTGTAAATTTGTAATTTAATTATCATAAAATTCGAATGAAATTTTTGGAAAAAAATCAATCAACATTTTTTCTTATCTTAAATCCGCATATTAAGTTAATCATCCTTTATAGTATAAAGCACAAGTCACTTGGCCAATAAAATTATGCCACATAGGATTTGTTTATAATTTAAAGAATTATTTAAAATTTTCAAAAAGAAAACCGCCCATTTTCTTTTTTTTTCTACATATGTAAAAACAAAAAAAAATTCCTAAATTTTCTCACACACCACACCACTTTCTTTGGAAATTTGTAACCAACTCAAGATTTTCCAAACCGATTTATCTTCCTCTACAAAAATCCAATTCACGTTAAATCTATCTCTTGCTCTTGCTTTCTCCAGCTTTCCATCACGTATTTTTTTTTTAAATCATTCCCAGATCCATCGATTTGAAATTGTATAGAAAAAACAATGGTATTCGATCCAAGTTTATTGTCTTCTATTTTTATTAGATTAATTTCTCTTTATTCCAGATTCATTTTTTTTCTCGGAAGAGCACAATGTGAGTTTCACTGGCCTCCCTTATACACATATATAGAAATCTGTAACAAAAATCATTACTAAAACTATGTGACATGTGCAGCGATCAAAGTATCAATAGCGGAAAAAGAAACTGAACTGCACTCATCTATGACTGAAAGCTTCTGATCAAGCCATGATATTAAGGTACGGTATCTTCTCTATATGTTTATCAATCTTGCTTTAAGTCCTAATTCTGCATATTTCAAAGGAACCATACAAGTGTTCCTAAAATCCATTTGAAGATTCAAAAACTTCTCTCCAATATCATGTAGTTATAGAAGCTACGGTCTCAAAGCGCACGAGAGAAAGCTACACAACCCACGTCAGTTTCCATCTACATATAAGGTAACAATAATATTTTCATGTATCTTTAATTTTTGTTTACGGTTTAATAATAGCTTTATGTTTTTTTTTTTCTGTATTTTTCATTATAAACTCATCACTATGTTATCATTCAATATGGTACTAATTTAACGGGATTGATTTACTATTGCCTCAAACATGTAATAATTTAATGATTTTTTGTTTTTAACGTTTTTAGAAGTTCATCAGCATTTTAAATTTGTGGTTAGGTCATAACATTTTGATATTACAAAACAAAAGAAACACTCTAAATAATACAAAAAATAGTTTACCGTCCGTAGGACGGGTCATAATACTAGTAATCTAATAATTAACAACATAATCCAATGTTTTAAGGCTAAAGTTAGTAAAGTATAGTAGACCATTTTACACAATTTAAGTAGAGATGTGCACAACACTATCTTTGTCTCATTCTAAGTCAAAGGTCAACTCAAAATGATTCCCATTAACCATTTTTTTATTATTTTATTTTACCCCAAAAAATAAATAAATAAAAATTCGAACTTGTCTCTTTTCTCTTTCGTTATCTCTCTCTCTCTCTCAATGTATCCGTTAGAACAGTTTGTAATCCGCCGCTAAATCAAACCAGAGAGAGAGAGAGATCCAATCCAACGTGAAGAAGAAATCGAAAACGATGTCGTTTATGGAGAAGTTACCGACGAGTCCCAAATCGCCTCTGAGAAGACGACGTTCAAGCTGGACCGGTCCATGGTTAAACCATCCAACGACGTCGTTCAAGCAAGTAGTCTCCGCCGTTATCCAAGCTCAATCACCAAGATCCAGGTTCAAATCCCTCTCCTCTGATTTCTCCGACGTCGATCGAACACTTTCCTTGTCAGATTCTCTCCTTCTTAAGATCCTTGAGAAGCTTCCTGAATCTCAGAACAACGATGTGGCACTCGTGTGTAAACGGTGGTTGTGTCTACAAGGACGGCGTTGGAGGAGAATGAAGGTTTTTGATTGGGATTTTGTTATGTCTGGGAGGCTTGTTTCGAGGTTTCCTAAGCTTACGAATGTTGATTTGGTTAACGCGTGTTTGAATCCGTTGAGGAATTCAGGGATTTTGCTATGTCATAAGTCGATTTCGTTTCATATATCGACCGATTCGTCGTCGAATTGGGATTTTGTTGAGGAGAATCTGTTGGATAATGAAATGGTTGATCGAGGGCTTAGGGTATTAGGAAGAGGGAGTTTTGATTTGCTTAAGCTTGTAGTGATTAATGCTACTGAATTGGGATTACTGAGTTTAGCTGAGGACTGTTCTGATTTGCAGGAGTTAGAGTTGCATAAGTGTAGTGATAATCTCTTGCGTGGTATTGCTGCTTGTGAAAATCTGAGGGGTTTGAGATTGGTTGCAAGTGTTGACGGATTGTATAGTTCATCGGTTTCGGATATAGGTTTGACGATTTTAGCACAAGGGTGTAAGAGATTGGTGAAGCTGGAGCTTAGTGGTTGTGAAGGTAGTTTTGATGGGATTAAAGCAATTGGGCAATGTTGTGAAGTGCTTGATGAGTTGAGTATTTGTGACCATAGAATGGATGATGGTTGGATTGCGGCGCTTTCGTACTTTGAGAGTTTGAAGACATTGAGAATTTCTTCTTGTAGAAAGATAGATTCTAGTCCTGGACCGGAAAAGTTGCTGGGATCTTGTCCAGCTCTGGAGAGTTTGCAACTCAAGAGGTGTTGTTTGAATGACAAGCAGGGGATGAGAGCGTTGTTTAAGGTGTGTGATGGAGTAACTAAGGTTAATATTCAGGATTGTTGGGGATTGGATGATGATTCTTTCAGCTTGGCTAAAGCTTTCAGGTAACTTGGCTTTAGATCACTTCCCTATACATGTTTCCCTTTAATTATTGAGTTCATTGATTGTTATTCAAATGGTTACTTCAAAGAGCAAAATCTATAGTTTTCTGTTGTTCCTCTTAGGTCTTTTTATATCACACAATCCCATCAATTTAACTGCCGAAAAGTGAAATGCAGCTTCTTGGAGAAAGTAACATGTTGTTTGACTGAACAGTATCATAGAAACTTAAACTTGGTGTTTTTGTTCCACATGATATAGTTAGCATAAGACATAATTCCATGCTATGTTGTTGACTGAAGTTTTAATATGGGTGATAAAAAGAATTGACTGTTTTTGCTTTGATTTGTATGTGTTTGATACAGAAACTATGGTTACTTCAAAGAGAAGAAGCCATAGTTTTCTGTTTTTTTCACAACATGATCCCATCAATTTAACTGCCAAAATGTGAAATTGCAGCTTCTCAGAAACTAATGTGTTCTTTAACTGAACTATATCATAGAAACTTAAACTTGGTGTTGATGTTGCATATGATACTATGGTTAATATGAATGGTGAAGAGCATTCATTGTTTTCCACTTTGATTTGGGTGCTGATAAATCTAAAAACTTTCACAAAACCCTGAAAGAATTTCCCTTGAAATAATGAACTCTTATGCTAGTTATACTCTAAGGTGTGAAAGATAGGATTTTGATCATCTTTGTTTCATGCAGGAGGGTGCGGTTTTTATCTATGGAAGGATGCTCAATACTAACAACAAGCGGTTTAGAGTCAGTAATTCTACACTGGGAAGAGCTTGAGAGCATGAGAGTAGTATCATGTAAGAACATAAAAGACAGTGAAATTTCAGCGGCACTCTCGTCTCTGTTCTCCCTTCTCAAAGAACTAACGTGGAGACCGGACACAAGGTCTCATCTCTCATCGAGTCTAGAAGGTACCGGAATTGGAAAGAGAGGTAGCAAATTCTTCAAAAAGAGATGATGTTCAATGTAGAACATATGTTTTGTAATGAAAATGTAGGTGCTCGCATTTCATGTGCCCTGAAAATTCTTATATACAGAAACTCTCTTCTTCTCCGGGCATTATTACTCTGTTGTAAAATCTGCCAAATTTGTAGTCAAATGTTCAAAACGCTTATGTATTGCAATGTTCTGTTGTTATGTATAATAATAATAAAACTCTTGTCAATTTTCGGATCACATTGTGTATCCATTTTGTTCAACAAGGTTAAGAACTTTTTTTTTTTTGCTTTTCATTAAATTACGAACTAAAGAATTTACAAGATAAAGAGATACAAGAAACACTGTTTGTTGTTAGGGTTATTAGTTTCGATCTCTAGAGAAAAAAAGTTTGAGAAAGTCAAAACATTCAAAACAAAACAACCTTCTTTGTCTTCTTCTCGTATCTTGGATCGATTTCATAGCTTCGTTACTTCTATAAGCTCTCATGACCGTGTCTTGTTCCACTTCCTCTTCTCTAAACATCAAATCTGCCACGTCATCTTCTCCGTAGAAGATATCTCTCTTCCCCGCTTCAGCTAAACTCTTCCGTCTACGTAACCCTTCAACACTCGCCGGAAAACATGGTAGCGATGCAGAAACTCGTGACTCCGCCGATGAAACAGGTAAGTCGCCGTCAGGAATCTTTCCTCCGATCATCTTCTCTGGGGTTGAAGTGGTCCTTTGTATCATCTAATCATAAAACGTAGGGCAGAGACTTGTGTACCTAATTTCGTAGTTATCGTTACTTATAAGAAAAAGTTTGGTATTTTGTTATTTTAATAGGACTAGATATATAAAAATATATAATGCAAAACGTGTTACGATCTTTTAAAGATTCTTTAAACAAATTCATATTTATCCAAAAAAAGAGAAAATTAGCAAGCTACGTATAGAAAAAATAATGCATATCTAGTAGAATAACTCAAATCAGATATTTTTTGACGATAAATAGTTGATTTTTTTTATAGAAAATCTTAATTTTGAGACAAGGATAAATCATGATTATACATGGAAAAACAGAATCTATCTAGTATATAAGTTTGATTTTGAAACAAACCAAATCGGTTTACATATAAAGTAGATTCAGGCAAAACAAAACCTTGAATCTGATGGGGAACATTGAGACTACAATGGCCGCATCTCAAGATCAGAGCTATGGTGTGAAACCGGGACAGAGTTGTGGTGGTGGTCTCTGTCACCAGAAGCACTCATTTCTTGAACCGGTGGCGGGTTAATAACAGTCATGGGCATCACAAAGTTATCCGAAAGACGGTTCTTCATCTCGCGGTGCTCTTGGCAAACCGCACAAAAGTGGAGGCAACAATGCACCATACATGGATCACATGGAGCGTTCTGTTTCAATCAACCAAAACAAAACACACACATTTTGAGATTCTTTTCGCAGTTTTATCGATTATAGATGTTAATGAAAACTTTGATTACCTGGAGATGATATTTCCTCTGCAGAGTTTGGCGGACATTTCCGGTGTATATCCCACACATCCACCAAACAAACAACAAGCCTTCCCATATAAGAAAAGACGTATGCGGATCAATACCGGGAACACAAGCAAGCATCGATGCGGCAGTAAGACCGCCTTCTACCACAATGGAATGGCAAATACATGCTTTTGTCCACGAGGTTTCCTCGTCACTCAGAGTTTCATAGACACGCCCAAATAGAACACTTGGGCAAAAAAGTCCCAACCAAACTGTAAAGAGAGTATAAGACATGGGAAGTGAATCAAAACCGAGGCAAATCGGAATGGAAAACCGATATTATACTGAGACTAAGCTCTTAATTCCAGTGAGATCAATCAAACGATGATGGGATTTATACAGATGTGTGCAACATTTTAGATAGAACTTACAACTATTCATGTCCTCGGTGCAGCCGAATATTCCGGTAGTCCAGGGCTCATCAGCAGGAGCTTCAAAATTCTCAGGCAAAGGTTGGCCACACTCGTTGCATTTGTGAACAGCTAGCTGCGGATGAGTTAACACAGACAGAATCAGAGCAAAGATCCAAATAGACTCTGATCTAAGAGTCACTAATCGAGCATGCCTTATTCAAATTGATCATTTGAAGAACATGAATTACGGATCTCTTTCGCAAATCACTAATATTCTCGATTGAATCGTAAACAGGTGATATATCAAATTCGTAAAATCAGATCAGTAGAAGAAAGAGACAGACATGAGAAACTTCAATGGGCTGATTGAGTTCGCCGGGATTAATCTCATCGACCGGAGCTTGTTCCTTCGTCAACTTCACGTACCTCGACGGTGCTCCTCCGTCCGACATCTGAGTCCAAAAATTAGATCAGCCAAAAATTGAATTGAAAATGGAGAGAATAAAGGATCTTCACCAACCATATGAAGGATTGGAGAAACCGAAGAGTGATCTCTTCCTCAAAGGTTCGTGTTGTTTTTTTTTTTTTTGTAACTTTTATTTCTTAATGACATTGAAAGTTATTAAGGACTGTTTCTGTGCTTTAAACCAAACTGTTACCAAACGAGTTTTAACTTTTAAGACTAATTTGGTCTTCTTCCCTCCCGTTGACTCACCTAACTCATTAATTAAGCTAAGTTTCAGTAAAACGATGCCGTCTTACTGCAGAAGAAAATCCAATAACTAAATATGTTGAGATGTTTTTTTTTTTTTTTTTATAAGTACGCCTAGTGGCGGTGTATGTGATTAGTAATAATTTTTGGTGTACTCTTGTATAAGAGAAAAATTTAATATTTAAGTCATCTTATGGATACTATTATTATTTAAAAAGATAATAAATTTTATAAAAATCTTAGATGAAAAAATTGAGGAAGCCACCACATTAGAGGGCTTTTAGATTTTCTATATACTAGGAGAAAATCCGGGCTACGCCCGGAAAATATATTTGACAATTGATATTTTTTAAATTAGTTAATTCAGGTTTAAATTTATGTTTAGTTTTTAGTATATAATTTCTAAAAAAAATTATCATATGATATTATATACATTTTAATTAAAATAACCTATATGGTACTATTAATGTTTAGTTATATTTATCTATGACTATTTCATTTTAATTTATATTTACAATTTTTTTTTAATTTCTAATTAGTATTGTTATTCTATATAGCATTTTTCTCATCTATATCCTCATAATTTATGTTTAGTCGTCTCTAATTGTTTTTTTGTTAACCATCTCTATTATTTAGTTCTTTTATACTTTCTTTTTTATCAAAAATTCTTTTTATACTTTATTTTCCATTTTTATAAAGTATTTCTTTCCAAATTTTGTATTCCTCTCTAATTATCTGTGACTTTGTTTCATTATATATTTTTCTTCTACTTTGACGTTTTCTACAAAACATTTTGTGCTTAGACATAATGTCACATATCATATTAGGATTTATAAAACTTAAAGTTATAGTATGAAAACGAAAATATTCAACGTGCTTACACATGGTGCAGATTTTAATTTCTAAAACATTAGTTTCTAAAATATTAGTCTAAATGTTAATAACAATAATACTTGTTTTCTAATTATTTTTTTGAAAAACACTTGTTTTCCATGTGATCATTAATAGAGTAAAGCTTTATCTTAACAAAATCACCTTTTTTGGTTATTTGGAATTTAAATTATTCTGGAATTTATTGTCTCAATACTGTAATTAGTGAAAATTTTAGGGACCAAACGGAAGGAAAAAAATGATGCAAAACAAAAAAAAATGAAGAATTGGCTTAGTTTTATGTAGCTTTTAATTTTGATGATGTGGCATCTTGAAAGTGCTTTTTGAAAAAGCTGATGTAGATGGCTTGAGAAACTTCAATTAGGGGAAATCTGGGGTACGCCTAGTGGCGGTGTATGTGATTAGTAATAATTTTGTATTATCAAAAAATTAACTTTTGTTATTAGTTTATCATTATAATATGTGATTATAATTATATTAAAATACTACTTCAAATGTTTCTTATGTAAGAGGTTTATATTTAAAATTTTCATAAATCTTTTATTAATATTAATTTCAAGGCCCCTAATTTTACATATATTCATCTTAAACGTGCTGACGTGGCATGATTTTAGAGTGTTTTAAGAAAGCTGATGTGGACACATTGAGAAGTCTCAATGAGCTTCTTTTATTAGTAAGAGATACTGGTAAAAAACCTCAAAAACTAAAATACTTTTCCAATTCTGTAGGGAATAAAAGTAGCATTTTCAAATACTAAAATCAAGATCTATTCCAAAACTACAAACATCCCTTGTGTAAATTTTGATTGTTTCTGTTTGCATTTTCTCAACATATGTGTTTATGCATTCATAAGTTTTTGTAAGATAATTTTATTTTGGTTTTATTAGGATTCATAGCTTGTCAACTTGTCTAGTCGATAGCCTGTTGCTGTTCTATGTATTAAAAATTTCAATTGAAAAGTTTTTAGTCTGATCCCAACGAAATCGTCCAAGATTTTCATAGATATTCCAACTGTTGCATGCTCTTCAACTCTTATCAACAATTGGGTCATTTCTTATACATATCCAAGATTTTGACAAATGTTGTGTCATTTTTTTCCGCAAAATTTCGTAGCAGTTAACCAGAGACTGTAATAAGGTAGCAGACAAGTCATTCTTCACACTTACGTTCCATTTGCATTCTTACAAGTTTGCCAAATAAAAGAAGAGTAATTACACTGCATACCCTAAGACTGAAAAATAATTAAGTCAAAGGAGAAGAGGCGATTTCGTAAATAACTGGTGTTTGGGTTTGGTGACAAAATGGCATAATTACCCCTTCAATCTTCATCTTTCCACGCATCCATCTTTGCCACTGCCACGATCTCCTCCAGCTTCACCACCACACCATCCACTCTCCACGCCGATACGAAGATGATGAAACTCTCTTCTCTGGTCAAAGGCGGAGCCGGAGGGCGGAGGCTTTCAAGCACTTCCACCTGAACTCGATCTGTTACGCCACAAGGATAATTATCACCACCACCAACCCAGATCTGATCGGAGACATAGTTATGGCCCTACCAGTGATGTTGCAGTGTCACGGTGGAGGTTGGGTTAGTGGAACTTCTGATTCGGCGGCTAATCAATGGCGTTGAGGATGGAGTCAAAATGCTAAATTGGCTTGGGAAATAGGCTAATCTTGCTCTTCTTCTTCGTGCCACGCAAATGCATCGATTCGGAATCGTGTTGGTGTTGATCTTGATTTGGAGGATTCTTTGCAGAGTCGTCATAGAGATTGATTGGTTTTTTATGATCCAACATTAGTTTCTGGTTTTTCTAACCATTATCTTTTTGATTTTATATCATGATATATAGTGATATATCGGGAAACACATTTGTTTTACCAGGAAACACATGGTAAGACATTTTCGGAGGCAAAATTCCCACTATTTATTCCAGGGGTAAATTCGTCCGATTTTTTCGAAACCAAAGATTTCTCTCTTGTTTTGCAAAGAATAAAAGTTGTGTATGTACAAGCTAATTATTTCTCAAATAATTAGCATACAGCTAATTGACTCATAAAAGAAAGCTTATGTATAGCTGCAAAACCAGGAGGCCTAAAACAAGGGGTTCACATGCTGAGCTCTTATTTGAGGAGAAATCAGAAAAGAAAAAAAAAACACAGTAATATATGTTTAGATCAGGGTTTAAGCAAGGTTTACAAAAACGCCCTCCAGCTTTGTGGTAGGCCAACACAGACTCAAGATGGTTCTGCTCACAAAGACCACCAAAACAGTTCTTGCTCCCACCAGAGACCTACTGTTTTACTATAATGCTCCAGCTTTGGAATTTGGAAAAGGTTATCAAAAGTTCATAAACAACGGAGTGAGTTTACCCGGTATGAATCAAATATCATGCAGACCCATCCAGTGTGTTTCCTGGATTTGCAGAGATTCCTTGTACTACACTGAAAGCTTTTTTGCAAACAAAGATGCCAAGAAATACAACAGTTATACCTAACCCCAAAGCCAAAGATTATTATTCCTCCTGTGTATACACACCTAAGTGCAGACAGAGAACTCAAAGAAAATAAACAAAATTCAAAACCCAACTTCTAGTAAGGATGACTTCTGTTATATATTTGTTACCTCAAATAGTATTCGTGTCATTCGATCCCAACAATCCCGATTCTGTGTAGTCTTTAGATCAGAAAGGTATATCAAACTTGAAATGGGGTACCAAAAGACAATATAAAAATAAAATGAAGCTATAGCATCCCAAGTACCGAGAAATACAATGAAAATGTAAAAGTTTTACGGTAATACCTACCTCAATGCTTTTGACCTCTTAACAAATAACCGATGAAGGATAATCAGTAAGGTCTCAAACTCTTAGAATAGCTGTGATCCGGTAGAAAGACAATTTTCGTCCATAAATTTTTAACAAGGAAGTTCCAAAAAGACAACACATGCTCATGAAATTATAAGGGGGGGTGTCACATTGTCTACCTCATTAATTTGCAAAGTTCCTGGCCCCAAGATACAGTGACAACACCTTATCTCAAACTAGTACTGGCAAATGGGGCTTCTCAACACCCTCTTGTGACCAGACCTTCCACGAGGGTCTCAAACTAGTACTGGCGAATGGGGCTTCTCGACACCCTTCGGTGACCAGACCTTCCATGAGGAGATCGTGATCTGCTTCGATCACGGCCCTCTCTCCCACTCCTTGATCTCCTGTCATGAGGCTTTCTATGATCTCTACCACGGTCTCTGTGTCTGTCACCATCTCTGTCTCGGTCCCGATCACGATAACTTTCTCTATCACTAGAACCACTCCTCTTACTCTCACTTTCCTTCTCCCTCGGTTTCCTCTTATCATCTGCTTCTTTTCCTCTTACTAGCCTTTCTTCTTCCTTTCCTTTATCTTTAGCAGCCTAGAATAGAAAAAAAAAAAAAAAAAAAAAAAGCGTCACTATCCCATCTTTCGAGGAATGACAGCTTAAATGAAACAACATTCACGTATTAGTTCTGAGACTTACTTTTTGTTCAGCAATAAAATCCCGAACCAAGCCATAGCCAACATGTTGCTTTCCAGTGACATGAGACTGCGTTCTCTCTACAGCATCATTAGCCACAAGGAATGAACCACAAACCTCACACAATGCCATCTTCTTCTCCTGAGCCATCGCGAGTACCTTGTCAGTTGGTCGTTGTAACAACACCGTCTTCTCAGTATTAAGCCCTTCCACCTACCAGAGTTTCCAAAAGATAAGCACTCAGTGTACTAAATTTATGATCATAATAAAGGTGTCACATAGGGTATAACTGCCAATAGGGAGGAATCAAGCAGAACACCATATTCCAAGATTCAGTATGATTGTTAAAACTTCGAAACTCTTTTTTTTTCTGAGCATGGTAAACAATTAGTACCTTCCTCATTAGCGCTTCAGCTTCATCCACTTTGCCTTCTTCACCAAGTGCTTCCACTTGTTCCAAAAGGTTCTTAACTTTCTCCTCCAAAACAGACAATTGTTCCGCTTTTTCTGCTGATAGAGAAGGTGGTGGAGGCGGTTCAACTTCTTGTGCAAGGCGTTCTCGCCCACGCCTAACTTTCCTATCAAGATCATTCACCTGTAACCAATTCCAAATCTTAGCATAGAGAAGAATCAACTCTAATGAAAAAAAAAAAAAAAAGGTATGACAAGCATTACGCACCAACTTCTCGCAAAACTGTGCAAGCTCAGCCTCAAATTTAGGCACATAGGAATCATGCCTCGGAGAGTTCTCAAAGCTGAAACAGAAAAAAATCAAAACTCATTCACATAAATGCGTAAAAGTAGAGCTCTCATAGGCTTAATTTTAACCTCTACAGATAAACATCGATGGACATAAACATGCAAGATAACAACATCTCACACGAATCGATTCAGATTTGCAATTTAATCAAATAAACATAACGAAGATGTCAATGAAGCCTAACCTCTCTTTCAACTTTGGATCATGAATTCTCGAGCATGCTCCTGAAAACAACAATGAAGCTTAGGAGGATAACATAGAGAAAAGCATTACACAAAAGCAGCAGATACAACAAATAGTGTGACTAACCAAGATCGCTTTTCGTGTTAACAAAGAGGTCATGAGGACAAAATCGAACCATATAGAATGCACAAACTTCTCTATCGTCCCATTTAACCTCCTTGAAACCTCTTCTCTCTTCGTCTGTCAGATTACGAGCTGCAAGCAAAAATTCACTCAATTCTTCATATGAAAACAAAAATTAAAGCCATTGGAGAGCTCAATTTAGGGGATAAAACTTGGTACTCGATTATTCACCTGCCCCCATAAGTTCGTCCAACAGAGCTCGCTGAGCATCCATGGCGGGCTACGAAGAAATTGAAACTGAATCCAGAGAGAGAATAAGGCAATTGCAGAATCAAATTGAAGAAATTTTGGAGAGGATGATGAACAAAAGTGGAGGAGTGATGATTAGGGTTTCGTTCGCCACGACCAAAGGGGAGTTGTCTATCGTAAACTGTATTCCCTATATAAATAAATAATCATATCAAAAATAAAATTAAAAAACACTTAAGGAAATGTGTTAACTTTAAATTTTCAATTAATTCATAGACATATGGAAATTCTCAACAAAAAAAAGCACAAATTATAAATATTGATTTATTTTAAAAGGAAAAGAAGTATTACTAATCACTAAACGCATTTATTTTAGAGATAATTAGCTGAGAAGTATCCGATCTGAGTCTAATTATATTTCCGGTTTTATCTTTTTAAGCACAAGACAATGATAATTTCAACCCCATTTTCTACCTTCTTTACCCTCACTCGCGAGAATAGAGCAGCTTAAATTTATCTTCATTTATCTTCATCTTTATCTTATATTTTTTCTCTCTGAAAACCTTTCTCTTAGTCTCGTCGTCCTCTCATCTTCGTTTTCGAGAACTTGTTTTTGCTCCGGCGAAGTACATGATTCTCGTCGTTGTCACTATTAAGTCGCCGTCTCAAAGCGTCTTCCTCTTTAATTCGGTAAGCCAGAGGGTAGAATTTACACGAAGTTTTGTTTTTCCGATCTTACCACCCGTCGTTTCAATTGTTTTACTCCAGTGTTTTCACGCCCGACCCGGACCGCCCGGTCCGACCGGTTAATCCACGACCCGAGCACTTTTCCGGTTTGGGTTTAGTGCTAATACCCACCAATTTCAAAACCGGAAAAACCCACAAAAACCCGCCATTAACCCGCGACCCAGTGAACCGATTGAACCGGTTGGGTATGGGTTTTGAAAATATCATTTGATTTTAGAATAAAATATAGAGTTTTAGACTCTATTTAGTTATTTAAAATAAAAATTTTAGTTCTTAGACTCATTTTGTTTTAGATTTTGTATGAAACTTTACAGTACCGTCTAAAGAGAAGGAATGTAATGGTGAAAGAAATAATCGAGATTAGTTGTTTTGAATTCGCGATGTTTTATTAGTTTATTTCTGTTATTGGCTATTTTCTATTATTTTAATAACTGTTACGGTTTTAGATTTTTACTTGGAATTAAATTTTTTTAATTTGAATAACTTTAGTATTATTGTTAGACTTCATATTTTGTAAATATAGTATGAATATTTTTATTTTTATATTTATAAATACTATATAATCTCTATAAATATTAAATATATTAAATAAATTTTAATCAATTGACCCGTGGTCGAACCCGGTTGACCCAATGACCCAATGACCCAGAAGATAGTCCGGTTCGGTGTATGGGTCGGGTTTAAAAACACTGGTTTTTGTCCAGCGACATTTGTTTAGATATACAACTACATGTCTACATCTCTTTTTAACTTTTATAAACTGCTGTTATAGATAACTATATTTATAAATGCATGAATACCTGGTTATGTACAACTACATATTCAATTAGTTTTACTCCGATTGTTAACTATGTAGACGTATATATTAAAATGTGAATGTCTAAGCAGATCTTATGTTACACATGCCATGTGGACCGCGTAAAGGTCAGTTTAACTTGACAAGCATTTAGTTTATGTCAGTTCAATTGTACTTTTGTGTCAAAAGTCAAACCCGCTTCTCCCACGCGCAAGACCAAAAGTGAGACTGGTTTTCTTGTAAATTGTATATTTTATTTGACCATTGTTCCCTACAAAAGAACACTAATGTCTATTACCTAATTTACTACCCCAATAATGGGGTTATTACTGATTTGAGGCTTTGTTGGGCTACAACTTTCAATTTGGGAACTTTTTGTCTGGGCTTACAATATTGGGCATTTTTGGGCTAAGAAAAAATACAGTTTTACCCCTCATATCTCCACGACGCTGCAAACACGATTTGTACTGTGGATCTTCGTCTGATCTTCATCTTCCTCCTTTGTGATGGAAACTAAACCCTAAGAGAACCGGTAAACGGTAAACCCAAGGGAATGATAAGCAATTTTTAAATCTGGAAGATTATGGCTTGGAGAAATAAGCCACATCAATCGGAGTAGATGAAGCAAAACTTGTCGATTCAATCGAAAAAGATGGTATAATTTCAGATTTGTGCTTTCAATTGCCCGATTACAAAGAATAAAAGAAAGATTTCAATTGATGAAAATTAAACCCTAAAGGAACTAGTAACGGGTGAACCAAAGGGAAAAAAATTAAAAGTTTCTCGTCGCCGGAGTTTTTTAACAACCACAATCATCATAGATCTGCATCTCCGACGTGTGTAAATCAGTTCATCTCGTCATCTTCATCACAGATCTGCATCACAATTGTTTGATTTCGTCATCGTTACCACATATATGCATCTCTGTTATGTGTGTTCTTCGAAATTGTTCATCAGGTAAAGTCAGAGAGAAAGACGATGGACATGGACCAGCAAATCTTAACGGAGAAGCTTCGAATTTTTTTATTTTGACTTAGGGGAGAAAACAGAAACTATGTAAGAAGGATAAAATCATCATTTCGTTATGGTGAAAATACCTATAACGACAAGTATGGACAATCAGTCCGGATCTGGTAATAATTGATGGAAATAATGCCAACCCGGTAATTGATTCCCCCAATAATACCTCTGCACAAATTCACTCTTTATTTTAGTTATCGGAACACACAATAGTAGATAAAGATCGGAAATGGATAGTTCGAATAGTAAAATACATCACCCGAACTCTTTTCAGAAAGGGTTAAATTCATGTAGCCATATTCACTTTTCAAGTTTTCATTAATTTGGCTAAGAGATAACTTTGGAATGGGTCAAATGTTCACTAATTTGGTTAAGGATAGGTTACAAGTTCAGTAGAAAATTGGAAAAAAAAACAAAGAGGTAAATTTCACTAGTTTTGTAGATAAATAACGCAAACGGATAATATGGATACCCCATCTTATATGCTGCCTAATTTTTTATCCATCGGACTAGATTAAACATATATAAAACCGATCATTACTTGAAAAAAAGTAGATATGAGACGGAGAATTCGGATATATACAGAATTCAACCCGTCATGGACATGCCTACTAATCACCCCGTCCTAAACATTTTGAATATAGGAAACGTTTTATATAGTAGTCACTTCAAAACGTTTCCATTATCGTAGAGACTTAATACTAGAACAATCAAAGTGTTTTTAAACTTGGATTGCCTCCGTTTCTAACTTGTCAAAACAAACCCTTAAATATACTAATGACAGAGAATGCTCTGTCCCAATGATTTGCTTGTGTGAAATAAGAAGAAGATAAAAAAAAAGTAGTACTTTTTCACAATGTATACGTGATTCACCTTGCATTCCCTAGAAAAAAGAGCCATTGGAACGTTTTTTAAGTTTTAGCAAGGAACTTTTTTTCATAGCTGCAATGCTGCATACACCAAAAGAAACCCAAACCTTGATCAAGTTCTTGAGTTCTTCCTCCATCTCTCAGATCTATTTCTTTTTTCTCGACTTTGTTATAACCAGCTACACATTGTTAGAAGATTCGGACCAAGGAACCAGTTTTTGCCTCTTCCAATGTCAATGGAAGTCATTCCACTATGATTTGGTCTAACTGAAACGGCCTGTCATGTCATGTGTACCTTTCAATGAATAATAAAACTATTTTCTAAACAATAAGAAACTACGTAACCATGAATTTTTCAGCGGTAAATTCGAGTATTCGACTAGACCACCCAGCGACTCTGAGCAGTGAGCATAGATCTACAAGTGGCTCTTGCCTCTTGGATCTTGGTCTAGGGTTTTTTAAGCAATTAAGAAAGCGTTTACTACAAAATTTAAAACTTGTCTTTATACATTGCATCAAAAATTTCACAATGTGTGTAATACAATATGACAATGGACGAACCGATTTGTTAGCAAGTCTCATAGACACCCCAAGTACGTTGGGTTACCCCCAAAACTATATTTGAGACTAATCGAAACTGATACGACGCATCTTACAAACAAGATTAGCTGTAGGGAAATCGAGTTCATTACCAGCTTCTGATTTCATCAAATCTTTGAGGTCATCTCTCGGTGTAGCCAAACACGTCTGAAAAGTTGCAAGAACTGGCGGAATTGGCATGGACAGAGCCGAAAGCACATTGCTCAAGTACTCGATATCTACAGAGAGTTGTTGTGCTCCTCGGTCTGAAATGTATTGGATTCCTCTCAGTTGGTCCATGTACAGAGCGGTTGCGCCTTCTGCTACCTGTTTTTTTAAATTCAGTGGTTAACGTCTGAGTACAGTGTTCACTAAAGCTCAAATCAGGCTTACCTTGAACATCCACTCGGTTGCAAAGAATTGTGCATCCTCATTGTTTGAATCTCCATTGGTTGAGATTCCTTCAGCTAGAGGTTCAAGCTGCTGAGGCAAAGTAAGGAGATATTCTCCAACACTTGTAACATAAGACTGAGGGTATGAGCTGAAGTTTGGTAGAGGAAAAGCAGTTTGTTCTTCGACTGAAGACCAGATTGGTAGGCGAGATACTTCCCCGAGACGTTGCCTGACTTTTGATATAAGGACGTCATAGACAAGTTCGTTGACTGTGTCGGCAAAAGCAGCGACTCTCTGAGACGCCAAAGGCAGTGCATGGAACCGTGGATCTTTAGACTGCAACAAATCAAGGGAAAAAAGGAAACGATCGCATGAAATATTGTATAGTTAATTCAGAAACTTTGTAAATCAAGAATGGAGTTTTTCAGTACCTGCTCCAACAGGTTTAACAGTTTGTGAGCCTTCTCCGGAACATCAACCAACCGAATAGCTGCCACATCCAGGGAGGCTCGTCCAGCCATAGACAAATCTCCAGCAGTTTGTTCACTTTTCAAATGTGATAGGTTGTGATCCAAATTTGTGCCAAATAACGAGATAGACAAGCTGGAGTTTAGTCTAGCTAGAGTGGCTCTCAAAGAGGCTTCAAAGACAGAAGACCTGCTCGTGAGACAATCAGCTACAGTAAGAATTTGTAGTGCTCCTTGAACAATGGACCATTCCTCATTTGAAGTCAAATCCATCTTGCGAGAGCTCTCCCTTTTCTCTGCACTTGCATCTTTCTTTGAGCCAAC